TATAATAAAATTATATTAAAAAACTAAAACTAATAAAAATGGCAAACACACAAAAAAAACTTTAATTTAATAAAATTTAATTATTTTTAAAAAACTACTTCAACCTACTCATACAAACTATAATAGTATCTAAATGATACTAAAATAACCCTGTTTTGGACATGTAAAATGGTTTTTAATCATGATATATAAATATAGTTACAATACAATGCCACGGTTTTGGTTTCTATCATGGTATTTTCATCTGACGCCATCACTGTAACATGGTACTGGCCAGTATTTTGTTTTGTAAGAGTGTGAATTAATTGGTTTCATTTGTTTTCTTTCCATTCCTTGTATTTTACAAAATAATGTATTGTGCATCATGTCAATTTCAAGACTGTTCAACATTAAATCATTCATGGGTTCAGAGGCTGAAGTGTTTTATCTTACGAGCACGTGTTCAGGGATGGACGCTGCTGTGGAGGTGAAGACATCTGAACTCTGGACGTCCCCAACAGTGACGGCTGTCACCTCTGCAAAAAACACAGACTTTATGACTTTGGGAAGATGACAATGTTCTTAGTGTTTGTGCACATGACATACTGAACCACATACATACGTCAAAAATTTGGTATATATGTGGTATATAATTTGGTATCCTACCGTAAATATATCAAAACTTAATTTTTAATTAGTAATATGCATTGATAAGGACTTCATTTGGACAACTTTAAACGCGATTTTCTCCATATTTGGATTTTTTTTTTTTTCAAATAGTTGTATCTCAAGCCAAATATTGTCCTATCCTAACAAACCATACATCAATGGAAAGCTGTATAAATCTCTCTATATATATGATCCTTCAGAAATCATACTAATATACTTATTTGCAGCTCAATTATTATCTTTTTTATTGCCACTCATTATAAAAACAATTATCAATGTTGTAAACATTTTTGTAACATTATAAACGTCACTTTTGATCAATGTAATGCGAATAAAATTATTATTTATAGAATCTGATGTGAGGAGAATAGTTTGCGTTTCCCCCAAACAAAAGATTATACTAATATTAACGTTGGTTAAACAAGCCTTATAATAATCAGTCTAAAAAGATAATTAAATGGGTCAAAAGACATTATGATGTACACTGAATTAGATTTCCATTGTTATCAATAATCAATGATTCGTTATAAACACAAAATCAGCTGATGCGCATGCGCACACTGACCTGCAAACGCGGTTTCGCCGTCGTCGGGGTTCGGTAGGGATTCGGTGATGTCGATGTTTGCCGCTTCTCCCATCACAGTCATCGCGGCGACTTCGGCCTCCGATTCGGTATCCGAACCCGACGCCTCTCCCGCAGACGC